CTGTTGGATGTGAAACATAAACATAAAATAATCTGGTTTTTTCTTGTGTCAGACGTCTTCTGAACACCTGGCGGTCGGGCCTGCAGGGAAAGCGTCGTCGTCCTCGGTCGCGTCAGGAAATGGAAACTGGGACGGTGCAGGTGGGATGGACCAGATAACTGTGGTGAGAATAGATGACACACACATTGCCGAGGAGCAGGTGAAAGACGACGCCGCGGAGTACTACGAGGAGGAGTACTCGATTCCTGAGGAGGACGAGGAGGAGGAGGAGGTTGCGGCAGAGGAAGAGGAAGACGGTGTTTTTGTCATTGAGTATTCAAACCCTGAAGAGGAGGGAGAGAGCTACCAGTTCACGATGTCTGTGGACAGATCGCTCCCGGCCAAAAAGCCAGAACCGACACCTCCTGTGGTCGGAGTGAACGCCAGAGCTCCCCTACCTGCGATGTCCAAACCGTCCAGGCCGCAGAGGCCGAGGCACGAGGTGAGGCACGAGGTGAGGCAGAAGAGGAAGCTGATAACGGAAGAGGAGGTGAAGAAGGAGGAAGTTGTGAGCAATAAATCCGTGTTGGAGCTCGGGGAGAACTACAGCGACGTGATGGAAGTGAATTCAGGCTCAGGTAATAGACTGGTGTGCTCGCTGTGCCCGCCGCCCGGCAGGCTCTTCAAGAGAGGCTCAGGTTTGGCGGTGCACCTCAAACAGATGCACCACATGGTGGGGAAGAAGACGTTCTTCTGCACGACGTGCCAGCAGTCGGTTCGCACTCAGATCGAACTGGACTCGCACACGCGACGCCACGCCAACCAGGACGCCGTGTTCACCTGCTACCTCTGCTCGGCCGAGGGAGAAAACAAAACGGAGGCGGAGAAGACGGGGTTCAGCGGGCCGAGGTGGGGTCTGAAGAGACACCTGGAGAAGGAGCATCCGGGCGTCATCCCTCGCTGCGACGTCTGCAACAAAGGCTTCAAATCGCTGGCGTCGTACCTGGCCGATCAGTTCAGGCACGTCGGCGTGTCGCCCTACTACTGCGCCAGGTGTCAGATCTACGAGATGACCGAGAGGGGTCTGAGCATTCACATCAAAAACCACGACAAGAAGAAGAAGAAGAAGCAGGAGTCTGGTGAAAACCTCCAGCAGACGTCGGGAGTCTCCGCCGTCGCTGATAACTCCGCCACAGACGACTCCGACTTCTGACACGTCTCTGAGTGTTTGGAGTTAAAGCGGCTGCGGCTCAGTGACCTCTCTGTCCCACGCTTATGCATCTACGACTGAACTGAACTTTAGACACAGTTGTTTGGGTTTTTATTGACAGGTATCACATTAAGGAAACCTTTCTTGTGGTCGACCCACTCAAGCTGTTCGTACGATGTGGTCGAGTCTTCAGCCTCCATCAGTGTCGCGTGTAGAGTAAATCCAGTTGTGGCCTCAGTTGGGAATTAAAGGAAAATGACATTTTTTCACAACCTGGGTCTTGTTTTTGTACGTTTGGCCATCGTTGGATGTGTTAATTTATTTTCACCAGCTTCATTTAAAGGATTCATTTGACATTTTTTTAAGGGAGTCTGGGGAAATTGTGGCTCCTGGTTCTGTAGTAGTTCAGTACACTAGTGCTGAGGCTGGTTTTGGCAGGTTAAAGAGCGCAAACATATCATCAGTTACAGTGAAGCAAATGGAAATCAGTGTGTTTCTTGTGTACTTACAGGACATCAGTGGAGTAGACGGGCCTTCAGAGCGGCCCAGGACACAGAGTACCATCTGACAGGCAGTTCTTTAGCAGTATGCTGGATTAAAGCTCACTAATTGTCACAATATGTCTTGTTTGTTTAATCCATATAATAACTGTGTAAAAACAACTCAAAATGTTGAGTTATTCCTTTTAAGAGATGTTGGACGCAGGGAGTTTGTGGTCGGTTTGACCAAAGAGCTTCAACAACTAGTCTGAAAAGTGAAGTTAAAGTATCAAACATGAAATATTACGGAGCACTGCTGTGAACATTTATCTTTAATCTCTTCAGTAAAGTCTTATAACTGATAGAAATAATCTCAAAAACAATGGTGCTGTTACTGACACTTATTTTATCTGGTTTATTCATCATTGAAATGTCAGAAAATAGAGAGAAATGCCTGTTAAAGTGTCCTGTGATGTCTGAAAACCCAAAGATATTCAGTTTATAATGAGATAAAACGAGCTGTAATAGAAATAAGACCCAGGTTGTGTATCAGTCAACCCCTCAGCCCTCCACAGTGTTGATGCTGTTTGTTCTTCATTAGTGTCTGAGTCGGTGCATGTGTGTGTACATACTGTATATTCTGTATTACTCAGCAGTTATTCCAGTTACAGCAGAAGAAAGTGAATCCGTTTTCATCCTCAGAGTTCAAACCTGTCCACAGCTCTCCGAGTGGGATCAGCCTCCAAAAGCAGGTTGTAACAAACAAACAATAGACGCTAAAGTAACTCATGTAAAGGAGCAACGCCAGTATTATTTCATGTTTTACTTCAAATCGTGTTCTTTGCTTTACAGCTGACATCAAAGCAGGTTTCCAGGTTGATAAAAAGGTGGGAAATCAATCACAGCGAATTCTTGTTTATCTCACTTTTTTGTCAAAGTGAAATGATAAGATGATTTTATATATACACACAATTCATTTGGCATTAAATTACGCACTGGATATCTCAGACCAGAACTATGGGCACTACTCTGACCTCTGTCATTTTACACACTTAAAACTCACCAAAACCGTCTCTATTAGTCTTTCCACTGAATAAATCCAACAGATAAACAGTATTTTCAGTGGCTCTCCTCAGCAGATAGTTGTTTGCTGCTATATTAATGTTTTAAATCTCACATATAACCTTTTAACAGTAACGTAGCTGAAAGAGCTGCTGCTGTGGTGCATTCATGGTCCTGTGAGAAGCTCTGACAAATGAGACCTCACAGTCATCTGGAGTTGGTTTTTTTAAAGGAAATGAAGCTTTTTATCAGCAATTTGTTCACTAAAAACCTGAAAGGATTCTGAATTAGTCTGCACACAACGACACCACTTTAAATGTAAGAATAAAAACAATTATTACCACTAACAAAAAACGTTTCTGGCAGCTGATTTCATAGAAATGAACTGAAACACATTTTTGCCTTGAAGGAAGTAAAATAATATACATGTGATTGGTAGTGAATGGATAGAACGAGTATTAACACAGTATGATCCAGGTTGCTGTTTCCCTCTGAAATAAAGACTGCATGCATTTAAATGTCCTAATTACACAGGAAAAACAGGCTTTTTAACAGAAACTCTAAAGTACGTTCTTGAGATTAAAAGTGTTGAAACTTCTGGAGTTTGTTTTTCTTCAGCAGCCGGAGTTTGTTCAGTCGTCCTGAGGAAGTCAAAGTGCACAGAGAAATCTAAAGTTGACCTTCAATGACAACTGGGTGAAATCCATCTACAGATCGAAAGCTCCAGAACAGCTACTAAACAAAATAAAATGTGATCCTGATGTAGAAAATGTACTCACACAAACATTAAATAATCCTTAATAAACTAAATTAAACTACATTAAAGATATTTTTATAATCTTTAAAGTCTTTTATGACGTAACAGCACAAAAAGTTTGAAAATAAAACTTTTTTCTTTGTTTTTTAACCAAAAAACTAACAGATGAATTCATGAAAGTGAAAATAAATGTTCCAACAACCCAGTTTATTTACATTATTTATACAGTGTATTAATGTGGTTATAAGCAGTGAAATAAGTATTCAGTGTTTCACAAGAAAAACACTAAAATTACATCAAAGTAGTTTTTTGTTTCTTCTTTTTTATCCCTTAAATCAATCTTATTTAAATTTGGACCCCATTAATCGGGGCCCTTAACCTCAGATTTAAAACCACTGAGGTAGCGCCTGTGGACTTCAGTCTCTCTCCCTCATTGATTATGTTTATCACTGAAATTAGCATCATAAATGATAATCATGGAACCTGTTTTAGCCCAAAATATGGATTAAAAAACCCACTGATGATCTGAATACTGTAAATTATTTATATGTTATTTTATTATATTGAGCTGGTTTGTTTTGCAATCAAGTTTTTTTTTTAATTCAACAATAAGAATAAAACATGAATCATAAATATTCTGCTTTTAGAGGATGAAACGAGTATTAAAGGGGCTGAAATCGTTAAAATATCGACTGCGTTTTGGTGCACAAACACTGAGATGAACTGCAACAGTCTGTTTGTATTAAACATTTTAAAGTGAATATATGTTTTTTTATTCTTTGCTGTAACATTTGTTGGCAACATCCTTGTGACTTCTTTAATTTTCTGACATTAAAGGGAATCACCACTGATTTTGTTTCTTGTACTTTTCTCACTGTGAAACCTGCAAGCATACCACACTGTAAAAATACTCTGTTACAAGTATTAGTGCTGCACTGAAAATGTTACTGAATCTTCATATTTAAGGAATAAGAAGCAGTTTCAGTCTTTCACATAAACATTTACTGTATGAAGGTTAACAGATGCAGAGTTTCTTGGGGTTTTTGTGCTTGCTGATTGTCTTCAGGTGAGAGGAGGCACACACAGGTACAGGGAGTTATTGATGAGATCCACTGCAGAAGGTAAAACCACTAAAGACCTGAATACTGAACTCTGTATTAAAAAACGAATTAAAAGTAATTAAAGATCCACTTCACCCAAACTACAAAAAAAAGTAGATTCAATTTAATTTAATTAATCCAATTTCATTTCAAGTGTGAGAAAAGTAGAAAAAATAGGTAATATAATGTATAAATACTCTTATTACAAGTGAAAATAATACTGCAGTCTGAGTATGAAAAATAAAAGCACACACCATTTTTTTAATTGACTTTTATTTTGAAACTCGGACGGTAGGGGCCGCCAGAGACCAGGAACTGCTTCAGAGTGGCACCTCTGATTGGCTAACCCTAACTCTCACCTGACCAATCAAATCATCGGAGGCAACGAACACTAGCCAATCAGAGGTAGCGGAGGGCGGGTCTTATGCGCGTGGGAATGGAGGATTGTTGGTATTTTATCTTTTAAATATTATAAACTGACATTGTTGGGGGGGGGGGGAATCGATTGATGACAAATATATCAATGATCCACTAAAGTCAGGATCAATAACAGATCAATAACTGTGGTTGTTTGTTGTCTTCGCCGCTGTTTTAATAGTACGGGAGCCTGGAGGGACAACTGAGTGAGCTCCTCCTGGAGGTAGGTAGGGGGTTTATTTTAGTGTTACAGCAAATAATTTAACTAATCAAATAACAATGTTTAACCAGACCTTTTTCACAGCAGCCGTCGGGACATGAAGTAGGGTAAACCCAGGTGTTACTGCTGTTACTGCTGTTACTGTGCAGGGTGGCTCACTGGAAAGGCTCGGCTACACTTTCATTAGTATCACTGGTTAAACCTGGGTTTACCCTACTATTACATGTCACAGTGGCTGCTGTGAAAAAGGATTATTATTATAGAAGATTCATCGTCTGTTGATTGTTTCCTTGTTAGGTTCATACAGTTAGAGGAGACTGAGACTATAATACACAAAAACACTTATTAAACATTTATTAAACTATTTGTGTACATTTAAGAACATTCACTCTAAACTATCCTATAATAAACTATTTTATATTAAACTATTCTATATTAAACTATTTTATATTAAACTATCCTATAATAAACTATTTTATATTAAACTATCCTATAATAAACTATTTTATATTAAACTATTCTATAATAAACTATTTTATATTAAACTATTCTATAATAAACTATTTTATATTAAACTATTCTATAATAAACTATTTTATATTAAACTGTCCTATAATAAACTATTTTATATTAAACTATCCTATAATAAACTATTTTATATTAAACTATTCTATAATAAACTATTTTATATTAAACTATCCTAGAATAAACTATTTTATATTAAACTATCCTATAATAAACTATTTTATATTAAACTATTCTATAATAAACTATTTTATATTAAACTATCCTATAATAAACTATTTTATATTAAACTATCCTATAATAAACTATTTTATATTAAACTATCCTATAATAAACTATTTTATATTAAACTATCCTATAATAAACTATTTTATATTAAACTATTCTATAATAAACTATTTTATATTAAACTATCCTATAATAAACTATTTTATATTAAACTATCCTATATTAAACTATTTTATATTAAACTATCCTATAATAAACTATTTTATACTAAACTATACAAAAAAAAGTGTTTGTTTGTTTTTTGTTCTCCTGTGTTTTTATAGGGAGGAGGTCTATCGCAGTGCAGGCCAGGCTCCTTTCTACAGGTAGGTCTTTTATTTTAAATATTATATTAATGTATCTTCTGTATTTGCTGTTAAAACATCTGTCTCCTGTTGCATTTTCTGACCTGTAACACCATTAATCTCAATGTCATTTACAGATTTGGAGACGTACTGAGGAGCTGCTCTCTCTCTCTCTCTCAACAGATTCACCTTAATGCCTCGAGGTCAACCTCTGTGTCATGAACTGACTCTTCCTTCCCTGTCACAATGCGTCGCCACAAATCAAACCTCAAGAAGCGAAGGAAAGAGGACGCAGAGAGAAAGAGAATAGCTCGCATGACCGAGACGCCACAACAAACCGAGCTCCGTCAGGCCCTCGATAGACAAAGGAAACGCCAACAAATAGCAAACGAGACGCCAGAAGCTGCAAAGCGTCGCAGAGACTTTAACAAGGAGGCCATGGCGAGGCACAGAGCCCGAGAAACACCAGAGGCTGCAGAACATCGCCGACACGTGAACAAACTTGCCAAGGCACGCCACAGAGTGCAGCAAACGCCAGAGGATGCAGAACGCCGTCGAGCCTCGCACAGACGAGCCAAGGCACGGCGGAGAGCACGAGAAACCCCAGAGGCTGCAGAACGTCGCAGACTCTCAAACAAAGCAGCCATGGCACGGCGCAGAGCACGACAGAAAGCAGAGGTTGGTCTCCATATAGGCGGTGTACTCTGGTTACACCTTGATAATGTAACCTGCATACTGTTACTGCATCCCACTGCTCTCAGGTAGGCCTGTGTGCTGGCAAGAGTCTGGTGATATGATGCTGCAATACTTGGCATGGTGATAGACGAAAGAACTCAGATCACAGTTTTAATTCTCTGAGAGAGAAGTGGAACAAGCTGATCAGGAATGTAACTGGGGTCAAGGGTCAAGAAGTGGCTTCTATGTAATCAATAAGGTCTTTATTCTGAATTTTACAGGAAGCCAGCGGATTGATGTGAGAACGGGGTTAATGTGGGCCCAGTTTATAACCTGGTAGCTTCATTTTGAGCCAACTGTAAACAATCGAGAGCAGCATGACTGAGACACGAGTAGAGGAAATTACAATCATCTGGATGAGAGAAAAAAGAAGTGTAGTTCAAGATTTATAGAAGACAAGAAACATCTCGATTTTTGAGATATTTTAAAGCTGAAGAAAACCGAACTGGACGAGCTTAGCAACACGATGCTCAAAAGTCAGATACTGGTCAGAGATGATACCTAGATTCTTAGCGTAGCTGCAGTGGCAAAGTAATTAGGTAGGACATTTGATTCAGGTTTTTGGGTTTTAGCTGAGAAGTAGATCTGTGTATCATCGGCATAACAGTGATATGACACATCATGAAAGCGCCTGAACAAATGACCCAGAGGAAGCATGTACAGTGAGAAGAGGATAGGTCCAAGGACGGAGCCCTGAGGGACTCCACACAGCAGGGGAGCTGAGGTGGACAGATGATTGTTAATATGAAATCTCACAAAATGGTTGATGATGATAATAAAATGATATATTTATTGGGTATATGATTTGATTTCAGTGGTTAAAGTCTCTTATATCTGGTCTCATATATCTGGTCTCTTATATCTGGTCTCATATATCTGGTCTCTTATATCTGGTCTCATATATCTGGTCTCATATATCTGGTCTCTTATATCTGGTCTCATATATCTGGTCTCATATATCTGGTCTCATATATCTGGTCTCTTATATCTGGTCTCATATATCTGGTCTCTTATATCTGGTCTCATATATCTGGTCTCTTATATCTGGTCTCATATATCTGGTCTCTTATATCTGGTCTCATATATCTGGTCTCTTATATCTGGTCTCATATATCTGGTCTCATATATCTGGTCTCTTATATCTGGTCTCATATATCTGGTCTCATATATCTGGTCTCTTATATCTGGTCTCATATATCTGGTCTCTTATATCTGGTCTCTTATATCTGGTCTCATATATCTGGTCTCTTATATGGGTGACTGAAGTTTATAGTTTACTCACTGTTTTTTAACCACTGCAGCTCTGGATGGACCAGATAACTGTGGTGAGAATAGGTGACACACACATTGCAGAGGAGCAGGTTAAAGACGACGCTGCAGAGTACTACGAGGAGGAGGAAGAGGAAGACGGTGTTTATGTCATTGAGTATTCAAATCCTGAAGAGGAGGAGGAGAGCTACCTGTTCACAGTGTCTGCGGACAGAAAGCCAGTAACTAACTCATCCTGTGGTCGGAGTGAACGCCAGAGCTCCTCTACCTGCGATGTCTAAACCGTCCAGGCCAACGAGACACGGGGCAGAAGAGGAAGCTGGTAAATGAAGAGGAGGTGAGGAAGGAGGAGGTTGTGAGCCTTGAATCTGTGTTGGAGCTTGGAGAGAACTACAGCGACGGGATGGAAGTGAATTCAGGCTCAGGTTTGTTTTACAGGGGCTCATATTCCAATCTATTTGTTGGACACAACCAGCGGAGATCCTGCACCGAACCCCCGAAACCCACCACGTACAGATTAAACAAACAAGATGCTGCATGGTAACTAGTGAGCTTCAGAGGCAGCCTGTCCTCCCTGTAGACCGGAAGAGGCTCGCTGCTTCCAGTCTTCATGCTGTGATAACTTCAGATGTGTGAGTGGTGCATTCATCTCATTAACTCTCTGAAGTGCTCAAACTACGGTACGAGTACCACCGGTGGAGCATGAGTTAGTGGTTCGTTTTCTCTGGAATAAAATAACTTAAATATATAATACTATCAAAATACAACATGTCTAATGAATGTGATTCAACCTGCTACGTAGTCTCGTTCATGCATGTAGCGCACGCATACGTCCGTGATTAGTTCCAACCTAAGATGTGATGATGAGACAGTAAGCGGAGGTAAAGTTAACGGTTCAGAAACACTGCAGTCGTGGATCCAAACTGGAACTATTGGGAAGGGAAGTGTGGACCAGGAGGAACCCCTCTCCACCATGAAGGATTCAGTCTGCATGAAATCTTTATCTGACTCAGTGACATATTTAATGTATATTTCATATTATATTAAAAACTGTACATTGAACACAAACAGTGAACTCAGTAACTGCAGGAAGTTTGTGTAAAACCAGAGATTGGGATGAATGTTTGAGCAGATTATTTCCTGTTTAGGGAACTTTTTATACAATTCTGTCTGTATTTATGTATATTTATTATTTGTAACAATCAAACAGACTTAATAGGTGTCTTGTTTGACACATTCAGTGTTTTCTTCTCCCTGTTAACCTCTCAGCCCTCCACAGTGTTACATGTTGACTACACAGCTGCAGAATGATGATCCCAGTATGAATATGAAGTGTTAACAGTCTCCATAGTTGTCGGATATAAAAATACAGGTGGTGAAAAACAAAAATTGACGTCAGAGTAGCTCATGTAAAGGCCAATGTCAGTATTTTTCATGTTTTACTGCTCATTTCTTATTGTTTTAAATTAAAATATTCAGTGGGTTTGGAATGAAATCTTTGTGTGTTTCTGTTGTTTTATTCTTTGCTGTAACAATTTGTCTTCATTTAACATTATTTAAAACATTATTAAAGGGAAACGCCACAGATTTCTCTCCAGTCTGTCATTTAAGTTTCTTATTTTATTAAATCTAAAAACTGAGATGTGTGTGCAGCTCTGGAAATCAAACACTGTTCATATAATATATAGATACTGAGTTCAAGGTCCTGTTTTACTGGTTTGGTTATAAAAGTCAATCAGAGTCAATTACACGTTTATTAGCTGATTATCCTTTTTATTTTAATAGAAAGTCCAACTCTCACTGCAGGTACAAAAACAGAGAGCTGGCGTAGCAGCAGGGCTGAATGCGTCTAAAAGAGAAGGAGGAGGAGGAGGAGGAGGAGGAGGAAGATGGAGAGAGAAGAAGAAAGCTATACCCCTGTTCATAATTACAGAAAAAAAATCATTCCTTTTACATTCCTTTATCCCAGAGCTGTACATCGATAGACGAGGCGAAGATCAACATTTATATATTTCATATTATTTATAAAACAAAGAGAATCTGTGAGTTCAGTCTCAGAGCAGGAGAGTTTTATCCCTTTATGTTGACGGACATTCAGAAGAGCACAGGGAGGAAGCAGTTTCAATCTTTCACATAAACATTTACAGTATGAAGGTTAACAGATGCAGGATTTTTTGGGGTTTTTTTGTGCTTGCTGATTGTCTTCAGGTGAGAGGAGGCACACACAGGTACAGAGCGTTATTGATGAGATCCACTGAACACTGAACTCTGGGATCAGGGCTTTGTTGGAGGACGTATCTCACAGCTCAGTGCGGTTCTACGAGATCGACACATTTCCGAAGAGATTACTTTAAAACTGACTGATTTCTTTCACCCAAACTATAAAAAAAAAGTTAATTTAGTTTCAGTTGTAAGTAAAATAGACACCATGTTCAAATGAATTCCAAATGTGTAAAAAGAAGTCGAAATACTCCATTCAAGTAAATTCAAAATAAAAGTACAGATGTATTATCAGTAAAATGTTCTTAAAAGAAAAGTCCTCATTATGCAGAGTGTTAGAATATTATATTATTCTGTTTTGATCTCTAACAAATACCATAATAATATTTTAATGTAGCTCATCAATGTGAATTTAATTTTAGATACCATAGATATCTTATCGTTGATTTCTGATGTAAAAAGTAACTGAGTGTTAAATGAACGTAGTTTATTACATCTATCTGACAACTGGAGTTACTTCTGAAATATTTTTATATGAAATAAACAAATGATGAGCTCATAAAATAACCTCTAACCTCCTCACACAGTTTCATTTAAACAGTAAATTTAACAAAAGCAGAACTTCATCTTTTCTTATTTTCTTCCCCATAAATCATCTTCAAGACCCCTCCCACTTAAAACCAGCAGTAAAATGCTGATTAACTACCTTTTACTTTTGATACTTTAAGTACATTTAACTGATGATAAATGTATTTTACTGGTAGTGGAGTATTTATACATTCTTGTACGGGAAAGTAAAAGATGCCTCAACCGTCTGCTGATTTGATTTTGACAATAAGTGCCCAATAATTCAATAATCAATCACTCCTATGAAGTAGTTCCTTCACTGATGAGCCTCCAGGATGGCGTACATACTCACAGGTCGAGGCCCGGATACAACAGCGATGGTTGCAGCCGTACCCAGGAGAGTGTTTCTGCTACACTTTGAGTTTTTAAAGGTTTTTGCTGACAGAAGAATTCCTCTTCATCACAGACATTAACACGTCTTTGTGGTAGAAGTGACGCCTTTAAACACAACAAACGTCAGTGAAGGACGGGGGTGAAAGAAACACCCGTGGATGGATCAGGTTGTGGAGTATTAACTCTTCTGCCTCCTCGTGTCCTGCTCGCCTCCCCCTCGCTCACATCTGTGTGCTTATTATGTACATATATTCTCTCCTGCTGGACATATAAAAATGCATTGTCTTGATTCATAGAAACCTGAGTTGCTCGTATATATATTTACAGTTCAGCTCCTGTCTGCTGCACATACGGAGATGATCAGTCGGCTCGTACAGAAGAAGGTCGGAGGCTGATCCGGGTTCAAGTCTTCTTTGTGGAAGCAGGAAGCTCTCTCGCCTTTATGTTTTTGCTGCTCTCAGAGGGTAATCTGTCCTCTGGCAGCCTGTTAGGTAACCAGGTCACCTTGTTTCCAGGTAAACACAACATCCTGCTGTTTGTTTTGTGGGTTTTGTGGGGTTCTCTTGTTGTGCAAATGTCACCCGTCTCCTCGAGTTAAAGCTGCTTTTGTACTTTAGATTTACTGACACGTCTTAAAGCTGCACAAGGCAAGAGTTCTACATACAAACACGACTAAATTAGTGTCGTATCAGCCTGAAAGATGCTTTACATGGAAGGTAACTAAGTACTTTTATTCACGACAGTTCAGCACAAGTCTGAGGCGCTTGTACCACTTTTTACTCCACTACCTTCGTCTTCTTCAGGTGAATAAATTAGGATGTATTATTATGGACCGAGCTACCCAGCGGTGTGTAAAGTGCAATAAAGTGATACAGTGTCACACAAGTGCCAGATTAGAGAGTAAAATGAGATTCAGATGTAAGAGCGCAGTCTGTCCAGAGGAGAACTGACTCACAGCCATCACTTTGCATCGTGTTACAGACACCAGGGGGCGCCGTTTAAATGCAACGTTGCCTTGTGCAGCTTTAAAAACAAACAAATACAGCATAAAGGCAGACTCTGCTTCCTTTATGTGCTCACATTATTCCAATGAGAGCGAACAGGTGAGAGAGAAACCGCTCTCTGGACTCTAACCCTCAACAAATCCCACCAAAAGCTCAGAATCAACAGTGTGTGTGTGTGTGTGTGTGTGTAGCAAAGCCTGATATATCTTATTCCTCCGTTGTTACACACACACACACACACACACACACACACACACACACACACACACACACACACACACACACACACACACACACACACACACACACACACACACACACACACACACACACACAGAGTACTGACACTGATCGCTGGGCTTTCATGGGATTTGTTGACAAGAAGAGAAATAAAGGATACTGCCAGTCTTGTCCTTTGAGTTTTTCTAGATGAACCGTTGGACACTTTGAATATTCTGCAGGCTGAGACGAACCAATTTCCTTTTTGTTCTGTTTCGCACCTGAAAGGTAAAATACTGGATCCTGGAAGTGTGACATGTACTAAATCAGGCTCCTGAGAGACTTTTTCTTGATCCCAAAAACATCAAGTCAGAAGTTAAGTTTGAGTAAATGCTTCTGTTATCTCTCCTACGTCTGGGTTTCTGTAGTACTGAAGGTAAATCTCGAAAGCAAACAGCAACATTTTGAGGCCCGAGGCTGCTTTGAACACCTTCTTTCCTTTTTCTGCAGACGCCGTCATCTCAGAGGCTACTTGAGGTTTAAATATCGGATCTACAGCTACGCAGAACCATAACGACAGTATAACTACAATGATCCTAGCTCTTTAAATGCATACATTAGATTACCATGTTCCTATGTTCAGATTTCCCCGTTTTAAGTAAATAAATACAGTACTTTTCTTTTCCTGACGCACACTCGGTCTCCGGGTCTACGAGCCGGCGCTGATTGTCCGAAGCAAAGACGCCACAGGAGGACTCGGCCTCCAGTGGCGGGGGAAGAGTCGACAGGTTTTCATCACAGCTCAGTCCGGCTGTCGACAGCCAGCCGCGAAATCCAATCAGAAGAGTCCATTGAGGTGCAGGGAGGGCGGGGCAGGGCGGGGGGGGGCGGTCTCGGCCGTTCCTATTTGGCGTTAGCGGTTCCTGGGTCCATCAGTAGTCTGTCCCACCGGACTGGATCAGAGAGAGAGAGAGGGGAGGGAAGGGAAGGGGGTCCGGCGGAGGTCAGATCGAGGTCAGAGTTGAAGGGGGAGTGTGGGGCGGCGGGGCGGGGTCAAAGGTCACAGAGCGGTGGAGGTGATCTTCTTCATCCCCCTCCGCTGCGCCAGAGTGGAGCAGCCCACCGGCTCCAGGACCGGGGGGACGTTCCTGTTCAGGGCCGAGTAGGTGGCAGCCATCGCACCCTGGAGGGGGGGCACAGAGAGAGTCAGAGGGCTGAAACTATTGATTGATTGATTGATTGATTGACACCATTTTTTAATATAAAACAAACAATTTAAAGTCTTTTATTGAGCCAGAGATGAAATGACCCCGTTGTAATGTAAAAGCTTTAAAAGAATAAAGAGCGGAGAGTAAAGTGGAGTCAAATGAAGGTCGTGAGACCACTGGAAGACTTTAACTGTAGCAGCTGACTTTAGTGTAAACCTTTTAGATATCAGTGTGAGTAAAGTGTGCAGCACTAAGAAAGAGAAGAGAACAACCAGACGAGCGGCTGAGGCAGAAATCTGCAGCACAAATTATTCTCCGTCTTCACACTCGTCTGCACGCTTTCATTATCAAATCATTTTTCATTTGCACGCAGGATTTGGTGCCTGGTGTGAACTGGCTCTCTGTCAGCGGCACGCAAATGCAAAATGTGTCGTTTCCGTGACAACCGATGTGTGGTTTTTTTTTCTGATTCATGTGTTTTGTAAGCAGACGGGACTGAGAGGTTCGGGAGAGCAGATAAGATCCACCACAGAGAGTCTGAGCGTGTTCCAGTCACCTTGACCAGGTGCGGCGCGTCCTGTCTGTTCAGGGTGTATTTGGGCAGCTGGTCTCTGTGCGTCACCCACGGGTGTCGGAGGACCTGACCCGCCGTCAGCCGCCGGTGGGGGTCGACGTGCAGCATCTTGGACACCAGGTCCTGAGGGAGGGTCAGAGGTCACACGTGAGTGAAAAAACATATACAGTGAAAGAAGGAAAGAGAGGAGGGAAAGACGTCATTAAATTAATATCTACATCTTCAACTCCTTCACAACGGTTCAGTATCTATATAAATTAAATATAATAATACAACTTTTCTAATTACCAATGTCCAATTATATATCCAAAATGTAAGATTCTTACCCATATTTGACTATTTTTACTCCTATTTAAAAGCTTTGTGCACATTTTCAATTAAACTAAATATAAAATATGAACACATAACCTTTGAAATACTGAATAATTCAGCCAAGTAACTCCTGATCAGTACAACACAGCACAACCTTCTCACTCAAAAGCACTTGTAAATATTTGTCATCATGCACTAACACTAACGTTGCACTGTAGTCACATTGAACTGCGTCTTTTACAGGACGTACAGTTACAGTTGTTCGTTCTCGGTGACGGGAGGCAACTGCACTCTTTTCCAGAGGTTTGAGGGCAGTTAACGACTGCATTGAAAAATGGGAATATTGAATATAAAATGTGGTTTATTGAACTGACATTAAAATGTTTTAGAGAACTTATTATAGTATAATTATTTAGGCAATGACTCGTGACTTTTAGGAGCTCCGTCTCCCTGTTACCCCGTTCTGCGTCACTTCACTCTCCTCCATGTTTGTTTGTTTACTACATTTTCCCGCCTGCATGCTGAAAATATTACCGTAAACTAAAAAGTGTGATTTGCAAACAAACAAACAACGGAAAATAAACGATAGATCTTAATATGAAAGTCCACACCTTAGCCTCAGCAGAGACAGAGTTCCAGTATCCTCCAGTGAGCGAGAACTTCCCGCTGCCGATGCGAGCCAGAATCTCCTCCGGTGTGTCCTCCGGTCCGTTAGCGAAGGGAGTGAAACTGGAGATGGATGAAGGGCAGGAGAGAGTGAGATGGAGAAAGTATTCATATACAGAAATAAGAATGAGTGAAGACAGAAGACACCCACCCTGTTAGCATTGTGTAGAGCAGGACTCCCAGACTCCAGATGTCACAGGCTGCATCATAACCCTGCTTCTTCAACACCTGTCGGACAGACATCATCAGTTCCATGTGAGCAAACTGTTTCAGATCACATTTATTTAACACCTGTTCTGCTTCCTCTCTCACGCTGCTGAAACAAATGTTTCTGTTTGTGTCTTTCATGCTTACACTAATGCTCGCCAGCTGTTTACTGTTTACTGGATATAATTGGTTTATTTTATTCTTTAGTTGATGATAAATAAAGACAATCGCAGACTCCGACAAACAGAAACAGTAACAGGAAACAACAATATGACAACACAAGCAGCATTCGTTCAACACTTTTTAATGTCCCCTGGAAACAGTTTCTATTGTCATCAGTGCTTCTTACAATGTTTCTGTATTTGTTTGTTTCTCTTTCTGTATTTGTTTGTTTGTGTTTCTGTATTTGATTCAGTTTTCTGTTTGGTTGTGTTGTTATGATTCCTCTCCCTGAGGGTTGATCAGTGCAGTATTTAGTTTTCAGTATTTTCAGTGTGTTTCTATATTTGCATGTGTTTTTCTGAGTGAGTGTTGACGCCTTAGGGCCACTGTAGGAAAAAACACTCAAATAACACTTTCAAAGAGTCAAGTTAGAAACCACAAACACGTGACTGATGCACAACATAACATCTCAGTATCACAAACCAAACCTCCTCTTATTCTGAGACACACAGAGACAGAAGAGACAGACAGTGCCGGACCTGAACCCCGAACACGGAGAAGACGCCGTACCTCGGGTGCCACAAAGTTGGCGGTGTAACACGGAGTCATGAGCAGGCCGTTCTCTGCTCTCAGCTGTTTGGCGAAACCGAAGTCGCAGATCCTGATGGACTCGGCGTTCCCGCTCTCGTCCACGTAGAGGATGTTACTGGGTTTCAGGTCTCTGTGCACCACCTGCAACCACAACAGAAGAGGCTCAAGTTTAAAGACTTATACAGGTCTGCTCAACCGAAATCCTGTTCTTGTGTTTCCTGTACTTTATTCTACAATGACCCATCAAGGACCTCGCCCCCCCCGGGAAGCTTTAGCGACCCTAACGCACCCCCTGTACGTGCAGGTACTCCACAGTCTTGGTGATGGTGTAGAGGACAGCGCTGGCTTCTCTCTCGGAGAAAAACTTCTGTCGGAGGATTTTGTCCAACAGCTCGCCTCCTTTCATCAGCTCCGTCACCAAGAACACCGACCGGCCGTCGTCGTACACCTACCACAGGAAAATAACACAAACAACGCTTTATTTAGTCGCACAATCGTCACCAATGTAACAGCTTCAGATCTGCTGATTCTGGGTATTACTTCCATCACTGGTAAATAAAACATTATTTATGGATGCAACAGATCTGAAAGTCTGTAGAGATAAGAGAACTAAACTAAAACTAGTTTATTATGTACATAATATACCTAACAAACCCTTTATTTATAATCTTCAGACAAAGCGCTGAGTCATCTCTAACAGCAGAAACATGAATGCAGAATATAATTGTCTTTAGAGTTACTGGAAGTGATTCAAGTGAGGGCATCTTCACCCAGCAGCAACACGGTATTTTTAACTCTAATTATCAGTGAGTCACAGAAAACTGAAACCAAATTGAAACCATTAGCATCAAAGCAGGGAGATTATTGTTTTGTCCAGCAGCTACACAGACAAATCCACCAGATTCATTTAAGTTTCAGAGTAGAGAGTGGATTTCCCCTTTGAAGCCGTTTTATTCAGTATTATTGACGGCTGAAAGGAGGGAACGCTGTTTAAAGTCACTCACATCCTTCAGGGTGATGATGTTGGGATGTTGTCCGTATCTCAGCAGGATCTCCACCTCCTCCGTCGGGTCTCTCTTGGCCTTGTTGATGATCTGTAACAGGGACAAACGGTGACCACAGAGCAGGAGAAGCTGACCGCAGACGTCCCGCCGCAGACCGCAGATGTTTTACCTTGACTGCGTACTCCATGCCGGTTCCTTTGTGTAGGCAGCGCTTACAGATGGAGTAGGACCCGACGCCGATGTCCTCTTTGATCTCATAGGCGTCTGAGAACTGGGACGTGCTTCTGTGCAGCTGCTACGTGAAAAGACACAAATGTCGACACAAACATTACTAATAATACTTAATTACTTAATAATACTTATTGAATGAGGGATCAAGATGCATCTCACTGCTCTTTACTGAAGGTAGAACAGTTTTTTACTGAGATATTCAGCAGGGATATAATCTGGATTTATCTGGTGTTTCTGGTTGTAATGTCTCTCCTTTTTCCCATAATACTTAATAGTACATAATAGTGTGAATGCCTTGCAGAGGGAGCAGACGCCACCTTTTATGGGTACGCAGTGAGCTCTCCGCCCTTTGCCTCCGACACTGCTCCACCAGTGGCGTCTGTGCACAGCTGTCCATTAAAGTTGAGGAAGTTTACCAGACGTACATTTGCCGGCGCGACCACTTAGTCCTCGTCCTTGAAGCCTTTTCTCTTGTAAATGTGTGCATTACAGAAAAACTCCTAAATCACTGGCACTCCCTTTCATCTGTTCAGAAAATATGGCTTCACCTTCACATCTGGTTCTCACCCGGTATCTCAGGTACATTCCTTAAAGCTCTTTGGTATATATGAGATTTAAAATGTCAATATGTTTATTAATATTTAATATTTGCTATGTAAAGATATAGTGGAGTCATGGTGTCACACTCCCTCTGTCTGTGTTGCTAATGTACGAGGTAAAATGACCGCTTTTTGTCTCTGGAGTCTGGTGAGCGATAGTGATATTACGGCTATTATCTGGTTAAACTAAAGGTCTGTCTCTGTAGGGATCCTTTCCATTACGTTTTAAGACAATTAGAATAACAATCTGAGTCTGTCAGTGGGAGAAACAAACACTTTTAATGGATTCTGACGGGCAGATTTCTCCCCAAAGATAAATGTTAGCTTACATTTCTGCCCTTTGTCATGAATATTTCCACATCTAACTGTGAATTTATGGTTTATTTTGACCTAACTGGCATGGTGATCGTTGGAAATCATGGCTACAGAAAACGTCACTGCATTTTATTGCAGCTAACAGGAGGTTTCACCCTATAAATCATGTTAAATTATAGTATGTAAGTGTATGTACCTGAACAATAGTACTGGGTAGTGGTTGTGTGTCCTCTTCTGTTATGGCCACAAAACTGAATCCTCTGAACAGCTGATGGGCGTTGGCACTGGGAGGAACCCCCGGAGAGTCTGAGACACAAACACAAGCAGCTGTTGAACCTCGCCGCTCAAATAAATCACATTTTTATTCACAATGTAGTTCAACTACGTGGTGTGTGAAGAGGAGGAGGAGGAGGAGGAGGAGGAGTGGCAGTCGGTACCTCTGGGTGTTTTAGCTGTGAACTCTGGATCGAAATAGAAAGTGTCATCAGGTCGTCCTGCAGCCGGTTTGAAGGGAGGGGGGATCTCTCTGCGGAAGAGTTTCTACGGGGGAAGAAGGAAACGTTAGAAACCTCTGGCAGCGACGTACAGACAAAGAAAGCAACGTTAATATTGTATTCAAAGTTCATTAAATGAGACACTGACGTTCCAGTCGATGGTGTTGAAGAAGTGATGCCTCTTGATCTCCTCCACGCCGTCTGGTCCCGCTCCTACAAATAAACACAACATCACTGATCCCCTCTGATACTGAAGACCTCACAAATATAGAGTTTTATTGTTAATTATCAAACAAACAGGAGGAAATTGGGCTTTTGTTGGGGACTATTTTCAGTTGCTGATTGATCTACAGTTTGGTAGGTTTAACTATAAGTATAATCATTTGGAAACCAATTGACCCGAACTGTGTACTTGCTGTTTGAGGTTTGTTTATTGAGACTGACTGTGAGTCAATGTGTTTGTATTGTAATGTCTATTCTGACAAATACCGCCAAATACAACTAATACTGAAACTAATAAGAAACATTTTTAAACAATAAAAATTCTTTGGAAACTAAACTGAAAATAAAAGCCAAATAAAACACAAAGCTAGACTCACTGCAGGATGGAAGCGGCTCAATATTACGGTTTCTGATCTCTGTTTGGAGGAGATTTGGGTACTTCCCATCTGACTCATACTGACTCTTCTGCAAATAAGTAGTGCATGTTGATTTATGCTCCACTCAAGTGCAGCTTAATTGACTATATTTAACACATTTTGTGGACAACGTGTGGATGTTTCCATCATGGCGGCTGCAGACACTGGAGATACAGCACATCTGGGCGTGGGAAAGGACAATCATTTGCTCCTCTTTTACTGCTTTGCTCTGAAGGTTATTACCTAATCTGTTGCCGGGGTTGCGTTTGAAAAGGTTCCTGAGGAGACTTTGAGCTTCCGAACTCAAAAACTGCGGCATTCCCAACTTGGCCCTGCGAAAAAAAGAGCGTTGCTATATAAATGTTTTTTATAAAGCAGACAGAATAACTGCGGTGTTATCAACCGTCCATATTGTATATCCAAACTGAAAGTATCTGAAAGACTAGACGACAATATGCCACACACACACACACACACACACACACACACACACACACACACACACACAGGAAACACACTCAGCAATCTGCAGAGTCCACTCAGCATTTCTCTACAGACGGACTGAGAATGAAAGCGAGACGACGGAGGAAACAGGATGGGTTAATACTTCCTCTGGATTGTTTTTCTTTTCTCCGGCATCATTCTCTCTTTCACCTCTCACCCCTCCCTTTCTCCCTCCAACCTAATCTTCTCTCACCGTCTCCCTCCCTCACTGTTATAAATGGCTATCAGAGCACTCGAGTCCCATTGCTCTTATCTTTGCTCCTCTTCCTCATCTTCCTCCTGAGTGCTGCACTTTATCTCCTCTAAAATAAATCCTTCCACTTTCCCTTGTGGGCTGCAGGGATGGAGGGGAGTCTCACAGTGTCTCTCTCGTACTGTCTCTCCCTCCGTCTCTTCTCGGATGTACAGTGAGCTGTAATAAAAGCTGTTAGGTGGTGATTGGATAGGAGCGCACCGACAGTATAAAGTGTCTTACTTGAGGATCATGGTCATCGTCTCTTTCCGGTCTTTGCCTTGAAACGGCAGCGTTCCCGTCAGCATCTCAAACTGAGAGGAAGAACAGAACATGTCCACGGTCAGAACTTGTTGTTTCTTGTTGTTTTGTTGCTATATTAAAGGTCCAGTGTGTAACATTTATGAGGAGCTATTGGCAGGAATGGAGTATAACAGTCTAGGTATGTTTTCTTTAGTGTATAATAAGATTAGTTGTGTTCTTGTTCCCTTAGAATGGGACATTTCTGTGTTTCTAGAGAACCAAACACTGACTCTAAACAGGGACATTCGTGTTTTTGCAAGCGTTTTGCAGCCACCGTAGTTTCTCCTTCACGCTTGGAAGCGGGGGGTGAAATGAGTAAGTCCTACACACTGGACCTTTAACTGTGATACAGACAAGCAGTGTGCAAACTATACTCTGGGTCTTGGATGGGGCCCACTCACTCACTTACTCACCAAAGTTTGTTTTATTCTGAAAGTTAAAGTGAGTATGGTGACGGCAAGAAACTTTATTAAAGTGAATCAGTGATGAATCAACCTTAATGCATGACTCATACATCAATAACAGCATAAATTTACACATGATCCACGATGATGAAGAAACAGAAATGCGTGTAGCATATTGTCAGTAATTCAGAGGGAGCTTGTGTCTTATTAAGAGCAACCTGTAGCTCGCACCCTGCATACAAAGATCTGAGTTCACCTCTGTTTTGCTGCTATACAAATAAAGCTGAACTGAATTGAAAGTCCCCCTGCACACTGTCTCCTCCTGAAGGCCGCCTCACGCTGTGTGATGTCAAACTGACCACGATGACAGTTGTAAACCGGGAGATTAATGCGGTGAAATGTTTTGGTCAGCTTTGGATTTCGACACTGGGGGCAGAAATTTAGGATCAAATTCTGATAACGTGACTGCCGCTGTGTATACAAACATTCATCTGCACAGTGTGTGACGAGCACTGGACCTGCGAGGACCTGATATCGCACATCGTCCACAGGAAGTCGCCACAGCTCAGTGGTCAGCGCACCGGCTACTGCAGCATGTGGAAGAACTATCATCAGAGTTTAGATTAACTGAGCCGATTGTTTTCAGGCTCCAGACCCAAACTAAAACTAAAGGAGTTCACGCTGTCTCGAAAACCAACATATGGAAACAATTCTTCAAAGTGTTGGCGAGTGAAGCCGTTACACATTTTAATTAAGACATCATCTGCATGAATCTAATCCTCCAGTGAGCGGAGGTGGCAGAGGCAGATGTGAAGACTCGAGTGTGAGATGAAACCGTGAAGACAATGAAGTGTGAACTTTGACAGAGGTGTCAGAAACATGAATAACGCTGTCTGTTTTTACAATAAATAATGTTTCATATTACAAACGTTTGTAGTGTGACATTCAGCCGTCACAACGTACATTTTCAGACGACGAGTGACTTTATTTGTTCCATTAAATTCCGCTTTTCCACCGCATCGTACAGCTTGACTCGACTCTACTACTTTATGTTGGTTCCACCTCAATCGAGGATTCAATTGAGTTGAGCTGATGATAAAATGTGAAGTGTTAACACTGCCGATGGTCACCGGACGTCCTGCACAAACAGAGCATTTCTAAATAGTCAAGCTATCACCAACAGCGATTAGGGATATCGAATACTGATAATAGTATTTAATAACACCGTTACAGTTCTAACAGCTCAGATGTTCCATGTTTTAGATGTTGCCTCTCCTCTGCACGCCTGCTCGACTGACGAGAGTTTACGTAACGTCACACAATTTTGTCGCTGTGGTCGATTGATGAAGCGCAGACTCAAGAACGCCATCCCTTCGTATCGTGTTGTGAGAGTAGCAGCTTCTGTTTTTGTGGGAGTACTTAGTGTGTAATAAATGATGATGTATCATTATAGATTAATCTTCCCAGCAGCATAAAGGAATCTAAATGAGCTCCCCGTCTACCAGCGTTTAACCTTGTGATCAGATCAGTGTTGTGGCGAGACTACAGAGTGGTGACTATAGACGGAGAGAGGCAGCTGCGTGCTGAATATCGGATCCAATTATCAGCCTTGTTCCTAACTGCGATTATTTAACAGCAGGGAGCGACGTGGCGCAGTGTGACCACATAAACAAACCGCCTCCTCTCACCATCAGCACGCCGTACGACCACCAGTCGGCGCTGTGCGTGTGTCCTCGCCTGTTCACCACCTCCGGAGCCATGTACTCCACCGTCCCACAGAAGGAGTAGGCCTTGTTCTCGTGGTCTATCGACTCCTTACTGAGGCCAAAGTCTGAACACACACAGGTGATAAAAGGCTTATCAGACTTTACAGCAGCTTGAGACAAAGGCCACATAATGGAGTCTCACACAGGTACTTCTACCTGTGTACTGTGTGTGTGTCTGTGTACTGTGTGTGTGTGTACTGTGTATGTGTGTCTGTGTACTGTGTGTGTCTGTGTACTGTGTGTGTGTGTACTGTGTGTGTCTGTGTACTGTGTGTGTCTGTGTACTGTGTGTGTGTACTGTGTGTGTAATGTTTCTGTTAGCTATGGTGCTACAGACGTAAAAATTAACATGAAATGAATAAAATAAAGAACACATGTAAACGAGTAAACGTGTAAAAGACTCACACAAGTAGTTTGTGTAGTTATGTCTCGTTTCAATGTCACGCAGCAGTCCAGATGAAAACACACACATACACACACACATACACACATATATACACAGAAACACACACATACACAGAATAGGTGTAATATTACGCACCGGTCAGCTTGATGTGTCCCTCCTCATCCAGCAGGATGCTGAAATAACAGAAATTGATTTTTTTTAATATTCTGAAGGAAATAATGTCTGTAGTGTGTGTGTGTGTGTGTGTGTGCGTGTGTGTGTGTGTGTGTGCGCGCGCGCGCATACTTCTCTGGCTTGAGGTCTCTGTAAATGATGCCCAGGCTGTGAAGGTGATCGAGGGCCAACGCGAGCTCTGCCAGGTAAAACTTCACATCCTCCTCTGTGAACATTACCTACAACACAGACACGCACACACACAGTTTTCACAGCTCATTAATATTTGCATTAAAATAAAATCCACATCCAATTAATCCAAGAAGCTTTAAAGCTGAAATGTGTAATAACATCTGACAAACTCTGCAACTGAGAGACGTTTGAGGAACCTTTATTACTTCTACACTACATTAATTTACTTGTTAGTCACGATGGTGGGACAATAACGTCACTGTGCTCTGGCATCTTTGAATGTAAAGTAAAGAAATCCTGCAGAATGCTGCTAAAGCTCTTTGATAATAAGCAAGATAAAAATAAATGTATTTGACACATAATTGTACTGCTATCGTTTGGTATGCGGCAAAAAATAAAGAGTATTTATACTCAAAACTCCTCTTTTTTTCTTCATATAAAACATTGATTTAAGTTTTAGTCATTGTCTTGTGACTAAACATATTATATATATATATATATATATATATATATATATATATAAAACTACAATATACAAACTCATTATATACTCACGTCTATCAGGATTAATAAGACTAATTTATGATCTAAGATTCACAACTCTGAGTTATTCACTTCTCTAATCAGAGGTTCTTTTAACTTCTATCTTATTTCAAGTTTAGTGGAAACACACCAGATAAAATAACATTTCAGTCTAGTTTTTAAAGTTTGTCATAGTTTTTGTCATAAAACTTACTTACAAATGTTTTAATTAATCAAATTTATCCAGTAAAATGTGATTTTGGGAAACTATTAACTAAAAACTCCCTCAGCTAACGATCTGTCTCTGCTTTCTCCAGTTAGTTTGTTGTTCTGTGTCTGTGCTGTGTTACTTTACTGCGTCTCCATCTTTTCCTCTAAATGTCTGTGCATTCACTGAGAGAGAGAGAGAGAGAGAGAGAGACCAGGAGAGACCACATCGGTCCAGTACAGTGATCCAGGTCTGCTTACTGTCCCCCAGAGCTCAGTTTTTATGCTCCACATATCTGGAACAACTCTCAGCTCTTTTAAATCTTGCCTGTTTGTAGATGTTTACTGAAGAAGAGCTGTGCCACATCAGAACATCTTCTCATTAGAGAATAAATTCCTGATTAATATCCTATTTATTATTAATTAGATTTAGCTGAGTTTCCTGTTTTATATTCTCCAGTTTGCCTCTCAGACATCGAGATCTTTCAGACTGTCTTGGGAACTGTGTTACTGAAGCACAACTGGAGTGAAACCACTGATGAAGAGGAGTTACCTCCTTAGAGAGACGAGTGAATAGATCTCCTCCTCTGAGGAAGTCCAGGATCAGGTAGAGCTTCCCCTCCGTCTGAAACGCTGAGGGAGGAAGCAGAGAAGGAGTTGAGATGTGATCTGAAACGTTGATGGTCTGCCCGCTCGGCTAAAAGAGGAGCAACGAGTTCTGATTGGCCGGTGCGGCGCTGGTGACTCATCACGGAGGTCTGTTATTGGCTGACTCACCGTAGTGCAGTTTGACGATGAAGGGATGGTTGACCTCCACCAGGATGTCTCTCTCCATCTTTGTCCTGACCCGGTCACGCACTGGAAACACACACACACACACACACACACACACACACACACACACACACACACACAGAGAGAGAGAGAGAGAAACACATAAATCACCAGATAAGACACTCAGTGAAAAGCCAAAATAAAACAGCCTCCCTTATTTGGTTTCTATTTTGGGTGGAGAGACTCCCAGACGGCAGTGGATGAGTAATTGAATCCCGGAGAGAGAGAGAGAGAGAGAGAGAGAGAGAGAGAGAGAGAGGCGGAAAATCAGCAACAAGAAGTTTAAACAACAAGAGAGAAAAAGGGGAAAGTAATAAACGATGACAGGAGAGGGAGAAGCACAAAAAATAAAAGGAGCATGCTGTATTTTTTTTCCACCAGCAGATGGTGTATGACTTGATTTGAACATATATTTCTCCTCCTCTCCCCCCTTACACCTCTTTAGCTCTGTGGATCTCTGTCGGGTCTCACGTTAAGGTGTGAAATTCCATTTTGGGCGACAACAACTGAGCATACGAGGGAAAAAATCCACTTTACGTCCTGTAAAGTATAAATGACTTCATCCACAAAGACCTTCAACTCAACTTTAACACAATTTAACAACAAAACCATCAGTCTTGTAGTCTGTGACCATTTTAAAAGGTCCAGTGTGTCACATTGAGGAGGATCTAACCACAGGGGTGTTTTCATTAGTGTTTAATCACCTGAAAATAAGAATCAGAAAGAGCTGTTTTTATCTATTCCTCTTTCTCATCCATGCTCTACCTGATGGCCAAACTTCATGTCAAAGAAAGTTTATTTTTTTTAGATATTTTTTGCATTTGAACCTCGGACTGCTGCAGGAAGGACTCGGCCCTTTGTACACGAGGCACTCGCTCTAACACCTCCGTCTCTCTCTCGACTTTGTACCTTTCAGTGTAGCTTTCTTCAGGACTTTCATGGCGTACAGCTGACCGGCGTCTGGCCCTGTGATCTTCCTCACCAGAAACACCTAAACACACATGGAGGGAAAAATCAAGTCAATTTAATGATAAATCTTTTTCCAGGAGCTTCAGCACTTGCTTTCTCACGGTCATATAATTTACCAGAAGGTACAGTATCGACACATTAAAGTCCAGTTTTATTTCTCCTTTTGTAATGATGCAGGATTCACGATGAAGTGTCTCAGGTTCATTAGAAGTAGGTGTTAGCCCACTTTCATGGCTGTGCTCACCCCAGACGAGTGTAGTTCACTACAGTTTGCCTTTAACAGTAACATTGACTTAATTTAAATCTTATTTTACAGAAAATTCATCTTCTAGAAAGTGAAAGTGTTCATTGCTATATTATTTTTTTTTACTTTCCAGAAGATAAATGACTAAATTACAATTCAAATTGTTCCAGGACAACAGATTATTCCCAGGATATCTGGTCATTGTAATCTAACTTGTGTCTAAACTTCCAGGTTTTCCAGGATGTGTGCGAACCCTGATTAATGTAATACATGTGTACTGTGTGTGTGTGTGTGTGTGTGTGTGTGTGTGTGTGTGTGTGTGTGTGTCTGCTGAATGTAGTGTTTATTACATGTACTCTGTGTGTGTGTGTGTGTGTGTGTGTGTGTGTGTGTGTGTGTGCTCTCTAAGAGTTTGTTTGGGTTAGCCCATTTTTCTAGGTCATACTTATGTAGATTAACTTCAACAGAAACACACACACACACACACACACACACACACACACACACACACACACACACACACCTCAAGCGGGAGGCTAATTGTTCATTCATAAAGACGATGATACCGAGCGGTAGTGTGAAGGGCCCTCAGCACTGCCGTCTCCGTGGCAACGGGCTCTCAAACACTGGCACAAGGGAAACATTACGGGGATTTGAGTGGAAATGAAACCCACTCTTATGCACACACTTAAGCCCACTCACCTGCAAGCACTGACAGGTATACAAACACACACACACGCACACACACACACACACACAGACAGTGGCGTGCACAGACTTTTTGAAGGGCAGGGGCGGCTCCCAAGAGGGCACTTTAGCACGTGTTTTTCAACAATTGGCGACCCCCCCTGTGCACACCACTACACACACACACACACACACACACACACACACACACACACACACACACACACGTACCTTGCCGAAGGAGCCTTGTCCCAGGACCTTGCGGAGCTCGAACTGTCGTGGGTCGGCCTTCTCTGATCCCTCTTTCACATGGTTAGTGATGTTGATCTCCTTGATTGGCACGTCATCCTGTAACACACACACACACACACACACACACACACACACACACACACACACAACAGTGTCATTAATACGGTCTGGGATTCACACTCTTTAAAATAAATCAATAATGCTTATTGTCCGGTAACTTTTCTTGGTGAAATTCGACCCCGACTTCCCTTCCCCTGTTTGGAGATATTATTTACACTTTGAGACAGAAGTTTGCCAACTGTTGGACCACTGGTTATTATTTTTCCATAAAATGACAAAAAATGCTATTTTGTTGACCTATTTATTAGTTTCTGGTTGTTAATAACTGGTAAAATGTGTCGGAGAACCACTATATTAGACCATTATTGGAGATTATGGACAAAGTGCTGCTTTAAAGCAATATCAGGTTTGTATCGGATGTTTGCGTCAACGTGCTGAAGTTTCTTATTCACTGCTGCTTCTCTTTGTCTTAAATGACAATAAAGTGTATCAGAAGACATTTGTAGACATCACCACGATAAGAACAATGATTATAACGATAACTGAAACGATACGAGCACCCACGCTGTGAAACAAACCAGAAGGTTATAGGTTCACAAAGACGAGAGGAGGTGGGAGAATTAATCTCTCTGCTGTCCATCAACATGATCAGTAACTAATGTTCAGAAACTGAGTATGTCTCAGGTAAAGTGACAGATTTTATGTGCGATTTGAAGCCTTAAATTACAATATTGTCCATTAAGTTGCTCTTTATATTTATAGTTATTGTTCTAGTTCTCGTCCTTTAGACTACAGGACCTTGTGACGGGCATTTTGTAGATCAAATCAAGAAAATAATCAGCAGATTAGGTGATAAATACTGATATAAAATACAGATTCACATATATCTAACGTGCGCCTGTCCAAACGTAGACGTCTCTGCTCTCGGGACAGTGAACGAGCCTTCAGAAGCTTCATGTGGATGTAAAGACAGAATCTGAGCTCATCGTTCACATTCACTGTTTCACTTTGCACCAAAAATCCAAAACAGGAAACAGCAGTGAAAACAGGAAGCGTGACGCAATCTATGTATTGGAAATATCTGTCTAGAAAAAACTAATGACACAAATAAAAAAATCACATGACCCTGAAGGCTGAATTAAAGTACTTTAAATAACTCTACTGAGACTATGTGGACACCTGGACTCGATCCACTGATCCAGTTGTGGAGGTTGTTTCATTTACTAAGCGAGGCCCCTAATAGCTAAATATTTATTATGATATATAGATATAAAGGACTTTTACTTTACAGATATGTTTACAGTAACAATGCTGAGTTTTCCAAGTTTCCCTAAATCACTGATTCTGCCTGTCTGCTTTCCCATCCTGCCGATCATCAGGTTGCTGATCAGGATTCATTGGAACGAAGACGTCCAACCCGAACCAGGAAGAACAGATCAAATAGTAGATAAAAGTAAGAACTCGGGCGTCCACAAACATTTCGCCACATTTAAACTTTCATATGATAGCTGGTTTAGCCTCAAAAGACCAGAATGCAATGCAGTGAGCCACACCTATTCCTAAACTACCACAGCTTCTCACTGCAACACTACAAAAACACACAAACAGCTGACTGGAGCAAACTCAGGCATGTTCTCCGTTCTCTCTCTCTCTCTCTCTTTTTTCTTGAAAGGCATTCTGGGAAATGCAGTCAATAAAGCAATCCAAAAGTAAACTACAACATCCAAAGAGAGCGACGTTATCAGCGTGTGAGCATATTTTCCTTTGAGTCCAGGCTTCTTCACATCTCAGTGAATCACACACAACAGGTTGAGCAGGGTTCCCGAATGTTCGTCATCCGCTCGGTGGGAGATCTCACACACACACACACACACACACACACACACACACACACACACACACACACACACACACACACACACACACACACACACACACACACAGTTGTCATGGAGCCACCCTCGGTACCTGCTTCCCGCTGTAGCAGAGTGACTAATGATGCCATACTGTGTGAGTCTGTTTGTACCCACTGACACCATCCCCTCCTTCAAACTCTTTCTAAAGCCAGCCCGCTCTTCTTTGTGTACTCAGGATATTGATGCAGTAAACAGGTGAACGCATCCAGACTACATTTCCTCCCCGCCACTCTCCCTCGCCCTTCCCATCATCCTCTCTGCTCTGCGCTCCATCCTGTTTCTCTTTCTGGCTTTTTTTTTTTTTTTTTTTTCTCGCCTTCCTCTCACTTCCACGGCTTCGCTCCCTCCTCCCTCCGTACCTGTAGTTCCCAGGTGGGTGACCTGTTGGCTGCCGGGTGTCCCAGTGCATTATGGGTCCTGTAGTCCCGACTGCGGATGAGGCTCTGTGGCGCTAACATGCTCCCGTGCATCGACTGCCAGGCTACAGGATGGAGCCGGCGCCGGCTTCTGCTCGTCCCTAACACTTCTTCCTCTCTCTCCCTCTCTCTTAGCCTGTGTCTACCTCTCTCTCTCTCCCTCAGAGGAATCCTCGCCTCCCTCCCTCCTTCTCCTCCCTCGTTCCCTCATGCCTCCTCGCCTTTTCTATCTTTGTTTGAACCGTTCTCACCTCTCCTCTCTGGTTTGCACCTCTCTCTCCTCCTCTATCTTCCTCATTCCATCTGCATCTTCCTCATGGGAGAAGGTCAGACTGCAGCAGGAGTGTGTGCAGCCACATGTGTGCAGGGGTGGACGTATACGGATTAAACTAAAAGTCAAGCCTTTAAAATGTTACTACAATAAAAGTACGGAGTTATCATACAGCACACTCAGTGTTTTAATGTTGTAGCTGATGAGTAGTTTAATCTGCAAGATGCATCCCATTTCATCAAGTTCATTGAACATTTTCATCTGAAATATAACTACTTATGACAGTTCTCAGATAGATATAGTGGATTTAAAGTATATAGTATATAGTGAAGTATAAAGTCACAGGAAATCAGCTGGTGCAGAAGTAAAATGTTTTCTTAGTGTAGAGTATTTAAAACGGTCTGTAATCTTGTTTAATTAGTCTCTGATCAGATAGTTGCTGATTAAATCAAACTTTAGACTGCATGTTGTTGAGACAAGGTTCCTGTCCGCCTGTTTGTGCTAAAAAAAACTTTACATTTAAGCAACAAGCCAAGTTTAGTTAAATTAAAATGTTAATATTTCTCACTGTAAGCTTTCAAAATTTATTCTTTTGCAACTTTCAGAGCTGAAAACCAGCGACTGTATTACCAAACTACAGAGACAAAAATGTACCCTCCACTCTCAGCCACACGCACACAAACATGAGATTTAAACTGCATGTCACCGGCGCCGAGTGCAGAACACCACACCGCCGTATGTAACGGAGCCACCGGACGCAGCTCGCCGCTCAGAGCCACAAACACCTGACAGAACAACAAAAACAGAGTTTGGACGCCGTCAGTGGCTGAAAATAGAGTCTGAAAATATGAGGAGTTTAGGAATGTTGACATTTCAAGTGTGTGTGTGTGTGTGTGTGTGTGTGTGTGTGTGTGTGTGTGTGTGTGTGTGTGTGTGTGTGTGTGTGTGTGTGTGTGTGTGTGTGTGAGTCAGAACACAGATGGAGGATCAGAGCCGAAGCGACAGGATGCTCATGTAGCACCTCTTAATCACAGGATTAAAACTGCAAACCCTGCACCTGTGCTCCCATCACACACACACACAAAATATTCATACATATGCACACCTGCATGCGCCCACACACACACACACACACACACACACACACACACACACACACACACACACTTTACCTGCCTCTCTAACCTGTCATTGTCCCTGTTATCGTTTATTTCCATCTCAACCGTGCATAGAAACACACAAACACATTCACAGCTTCCAGCTCGACTCTTCCGCTGACTATTTAAGAACATTTCTGTCTCACACACTCACACACACACACACACACACACACACACACACACACACACACACACACACACACACACACACACACACACACGGAAACAAGCACAATGCCACTGGTGGTAAATTTAAGCTGTGTGGCTCTAAAAGCTGTCATCCTGAATCCTGGTTATGAGCTTTGGGCTGGTCAGCAGACGTTGGTCACCTGGTGCGTAAAGTCGAAAGGAAATTGAGCTTCTCAGTTTATTCCCGATCTTGGAAACAGCAGCTGACACCTTTAGTAGCTTGTTCTGGAGCTTTCGATCGTATCAGTTTCATGGAGATGGAGTTCGGCCGGTCTGTCAGGGAACTGTACAGACTCAAATTTCCATTTTTTCCCCGAGGACTTTGAGGACTTCTCGTCCGTGTTCGCTGCTGTTTTCTTTTACAGGAATAAAACTTTTAAGCCAACGTGGACGAGAAGTTTTCATAACTTTCATCACAACTGGGAAACTCCATCTACTGACTGATAATGACTGGTCAAAAGCTCAAGAACAGCTATCAAATGAACCTCTGAGGTGAACTTGTTTAGCCAACTAGGGCTACAACAAACATTATTTTCATTATTCATTAATTAGCTGATTATTTTCTTGATTATTCTTTGTCCAACTGACTGAATATTCAGTTTACAATAATATAAAAGACAAAAAAAAGCAGCAAATCCTATTTTTCTGTCAATTGATTAATTGTTTCTGCTCTATTATAAACTAATGAAAGCAGCAAAGTTTTGAAAGGTTCCTTTTTTACATGTTACTTTCACAGGTTCTGTTCTCTACGCAGTTTAATTTAAAAAGGGGAACTGCAGCAATTTAGTATTGCAAAATCAAGTCAAGCTCAAAAAATGCTGGATCCTAATGCAACTTATCAGCAACTGTCAAAGAAGAAACCTGTGAAACAGTTTTTCTTGTGTGCAAAACTGGTGGAACAGCCCTTTAACTTTAAGATCAAGTCACCATCATCAGGTCCTGGAGCTGAACAAACCAGGTAAACTGCTGTCAGATAGTCATCCACAGCGATCTTAGCAGAGCTGCTGGACGAGATGATAAACCTGCTGTTCATTTATAGTTTTAAATAAATTAGCTTTATTTCATCGAGCCAACGGGTTGTAAA